CGGCCGGTGGAGATGCGCGTGGGGCGCTCCGCGTCGCGAAGGTGAAGGGCTCCCTGAACGCCCACGTCGGGTGTTCCAGCGCCGTGACACGCCACGTCGTGGTGCGCTGGCGGCCTCCGTTCCCGCGGCCGGTACCGTGGCGATTTCGGTAGGTGATGCTGCAGTTGCAGCCAGGCAGCTAACCTGTGTGCTCCGAGGACCACACCGTGGGGAAATTAACTCTTCGGTGACCGTTGTGCAGGAAGATGGGTTTGTTCCTCCAGCCTTCTGTGCCTACACTCTGTGGTGACGGAGATGCGGCCCCAGGGCTGTGCTGTCACAGAGCTAATGCAAGAAACAGAAGTTCTTAGTAGCGTTCGGACATACGAGAAATACCTATTTTTCCATTTTGAAATAAAGCCTGTTTTGTTCTTTGGGGCGTACGGCCCCACCTGCTAACTAAGGGGGCCTACAAGGAAGCTGGGAGAGGACTTTTTACAAGAGCCTGTAGTGATAGGACAAGGGGTAATGGGTACAAATTGAAATCAGGGAGGTTTAGATTGGATATCAGGAAGAAATTCTTCACAGAGAGAGTGGTGAGGCACTGGAACAGGTTGCCTAGGGAAGCTGTGAATGCCCCATCCCTGGAAGTGTTCAAGGCCAGGCTGGATGAGGCTTGGAGCAACCTGGTCTAGTGGAAGGGGTCCCTGCCCATGGCAGGGGGGGTGGAACTAGATGGTCTTTGGGGTCCCTTCCAACCCAAACCATTCTGTGATTCTATACAAATGTTAGACACCCTACTCTAATTAGGTTAGGCTTCAGTTTCATCTAGTAAGTTAGATGATGATGACAGCTACACAGCAATCTGCATTTTTATAAGCAGTCGTGAATTTCTAAGCTCGTCTATAGGTGGACTGTATATTGCTTTGAGTTTTCAGGAGGAAGTGGAGAAGCACCGTGACTTTCTTCTTTAATTACAGCCTGAAGTCATCCCTCAATCTGGAGTTTTACCACGCAGTTCGTAATTAACTCTGAGACGGTACTCGTGCCGTGAAGAAAATATTTCGTAAAGAAAGCATAACTCTCTATACTAAAATGCTGTGTTAACTGCCCATATCTTACTGAAGAAGAAGGAGAATCTTTGATGTGGAAACGGTGAAGTAAGCTGAAGTCACCCATGATGGTCCTTGTGTTCTCGAAAAGGAGCTCTAGGCTTTAATAACTTCGAGCTTTTGATGTAACACATCCAATTTCGGTACTGAAGGAAATCCTACCTTATTTTGAGCTTTGAACTTCTCCCTTTTAATGCCTTTGATCAATCAGCCCTTAATCTCAGCCATGAAAATAAGGTCTAAAAGCTTTATGTGAAAGCAAGGCAATAGGCTCCCGTACAAAATCTTGAGGGTGAAAGCGGTGGTGTGCTACGTTTTGTTTAAAACAAAGATAAATCCTCCCTCTCCGGGGGAATAGGGAGAGATCCAAGGGTTTTGCCCGAACTCAGGACAGGTCCTGGTAGTGGGGTAAAGGGGGTTAATTTGTCTGAACGTTGTCGAAGTGGGCAAGGCAGTGCAAGGTACTGTTTGGCTACTGTTATTTTTTAATCATGGGTTGGCACAAGTTAGGCATTTTCTGATTCCTTCTGATGCTGCTGTTCTGCAGTATACTGGTGTTACTGGTGCTGCTAGCTGAACAGTAGAGGAGCCCTAATTTTTAAGACAGTCCGAAATTTAGCGTTTTGGGGTGGTTTTTTTTTTTTTTTTTTTACTGGGCAGACCATGGTCTTTGGTCTCCCCAAGATTCTGGGGAGTTGTGTCTTGGAAGTTTGCACTCACACAATTGCTCCTAATTGCAAATAAAGGGAGAAATGTGTTTTGTATGCTAAAATGAGTTTAAATGTACACATGAAGGAGTTACTTATTCTTTCTGTTTTCATAATGTTAGTAAGTTTATAACCCAGGCTTTTAATTCTTACCTTTGTTTTTGTTTTTCTATGCTCTTCTGTACTCTTCTATGAAAGGTACCAGAAATAAATTATTACTATTATCTTGCTGTAAGAGGTGTGAACATATCTCTCAGTAGCTTTGTGGATGAGAGACAGAAAAACCTGATGGTGCCATTTGGCACCTGCGCTCTGGAGAAAGACTTTATTGGTACTTGCAGGTTGAGGACAGTGACTTAATGAGGTAGTTGTCTGTTTTCTTGAATGCATCACTTACCACTTAGAACTCTACATCTTGTGGAACCAAGAGGCCTGGTGAAGTTCGACTTCCTGGTGAAATTCTTGTTTCAAAGTGTCACTTGTATTTTCCACGGGAGAAGGGTTGTTACTTCACAAGAGAGGGATATGGAGTTTTTTCTTCAGCATAATGCTGCTGTTGAGGGCCTGAGATTGTTGTACAAATTAAAAAGTACAAAGGTGTATGATTACATGAATAAAAGTATTAATAATTATATGAAAGTGTTAATTGCTCACAGTGACATGCGCGTGGGTGGGGTGGGGGGGTGTTAGGGCACCTCACAAGTTTTAACTGCTGTGATACCCTTTGTTAGCATTCTTTGAAAGACACTATTTCAACATACGACTTCCAACCAAAAATTCTGTGGCTGAAGGTGGTGTTCTATGCTAAACTGCCCGTGTGAAGTAGTTCTGCAGAACGCTAGCAAATGATGTGTAATGATTCATAGGGTGTTACGCAGTTTCAAAAATAAAGGCTCTTGTGCAATTTTCTTATTTCAGAAAGACGACAGATACAAAAAAGGCTCAATAGGTACCTAATGGTACAGGCATCTAAAAGTTAAGTGGGTAGGGTGTACTTTAATTCTCTGATGTTTTGTGTAGCGTGTGTGTGTACGTGTATGTAATACGTAGAGCTGTAGAGTAGCTCGTTCCCAAGAGCTCAGATATTACTTTAAGTCTTGTCAAGCTGTGTAGTTTCAGTGTCTCATGTATGTGGCCAGCTTGCTTTACCCTCGCTGTGGGCTTTCCAGGAGGCAGCACCCATGGAAGAGAGACTTCTTAAAAGAGAACATGAAATTACCCAAGTAGTTGTATTCGACACTAGAGGTTAATTTATTAAATCAGATTGAGGTTAGGGAAGTATGCTGTTGATAACTTCTGTGACGTGATATGTGTCATTATGCACACATGTGTTTTTATAACTGCATTGTCTTACTGTTTTCTGTTACAATAGCCAGTTCCACCAAGCAGGAGTAGTTACATGGAATGCCTATGGTAGAGTGAGGAAATGCAATAGAGAGGGCATTAAACTACTGTGGTGACCCAAGTTCTGTTCTTTGCTTTGTCACTGGTTGTCTGTGTAACCTTCAGTGCATTCATTTAGCTGTACTTTCATTTCCCAAGCCTCGTATCACTTAGACATGACCTTTCATTAGTTGGCAGTGGAATGTCATGTTTGTGGTTCCATCCAAACACTGTTGTAATACTTTAAAAAAAAAAAAAAAGTGTCATGGAAAACATGGACTAAGGAGTGAAAACTTTCGGGTTTTTCTTCTCCTCTTTGAGTTTAGGAGTGTTTTGTGGTAGTAGATTTAAAGGCTTATTTTCCAAATAAATATGCAATGCATTATAAATGAAATGCATTATACCTGAGAGATACTACTGGCTCTGGAAGACTAGCTTACGTCAGAGTTCTGACTCTCCCATCGCATACTGCTACCAACCCATTCTAGAGATGTATGTGTTCGTGTAAGTGAACTTGGAGACCTGACTGGCTTCAGTCTGAGTTTTTAAAAATACTATAATGCTTTTCAGAGAAGGACATGGACTACTTGGACACAAAGCAAAAACTTCTATCTCCAGGAGGACAACAGTATGATACTGTTTTGAGATGAGTTGTTAAGTGAAAACACGTCCTTATAAGAAAGAAGTGATTTAACTACTGTTGGTCATTGACATCTCTTTGTCGCACTGACGTTAAACCTCATCTACAATCTGTTCATAGAGCCATAGTCTTTGTTCTTCTACCCATAGATAACTGGAGAGTGAGCCGTGGGCAAGGATACTCCTATTCGGCTTCCTCGCTTCCTGGTAGGGATTGTTTCCTGAAGATGTGAAATTAGTTTTACTATTAGTAAAATATGGAAATTCTACTGTTACCCACTTGAGTAGGAAGGCATGAGCAATTTTAAGTACTGACAGTAGGAAGAGGGATGAAGCATTTTTAATGTGGGGTGTTTTGTTTGTGGTGGTGGTGTGGTGTTTTGTTTTTTTTTTTTTTTTTGTAAGAGTATGTCCACTAGAGAGCAGCAAAAACCTGTATTCCTACAAACTTTGGCTATTCAGCTGATTAGGCATTGTTTTCTGCTTTGAGGGAAGCAGGGAGTAGCCTGAGAAGGAAGTAGTGATCTATTTGTGCGAAGGAAGCCGTTCAGTTGTGTGTGACAGTGTTCTGTGTCTTGGCAGGAGACTAGAAGGTAGTGTCATCAAACTGTAAAAAACCCACAGATTGTGTCAAATTGCACTCATTTGGAATTTGGTAGCAAAAGAGAGGTGGGAACAAAATGAATGAGGAAAGTAAGACACCAGTTGCTTTATTTAGTCACAGTGGTATCATTGTGTCTGTGCAGCTTCAGAAGGTCAGGAAGATGAATAACAAGATCAAGCCAAACCTCACTTTTCACTTGGAGTAACAGCTCTTGTACAGTGACTCGGTGTAAATATATCTTACTGAGGATCTGTTCTGTGCTGTAGGCATTCAGAGCATGCCCACTTACAATGAACCTGGAATATTGTTTAAATAGGAAAAGTGTCACAGGCTAAGGAAGATAAAGTCCTGCTTGTTAGAAAGGTGGAGAATATCAGTGTGTGACTATTTTAGGGAACCTTTAATAGTTTTAATGGCTTAAAGAAATTTTTTGTTCAGGTGTAAATCAGCAAAGGCACATCAACAGGAAAATAACTGTTAAATATTCTCATAGTTAAGCTTTGAATAAGACAACTTTCCTTCTCTAGTTGGTGGGGGAGGTCGGAAATTACACCTGAGAGCTTTATTGTCTTTTCTGTAACACCAGAGGATGATTGGCAATAATTCATTTGGATTTATAATTTCGGAGAAGTTTTTTTTTCAGAGAAGGGGGTGCAACTTGGAATCAAGACTTTGAGATGGCACGTATATTCAGCATCAGATTGCCATTTATTTAAAACCTCGATAAAGAGGGGTGTAAAATCTGAGGCAATTGAGGTGGTTATCTTAAACTCTTGAATCTAGGTAAGACACCAAATTTCAGGACTTGGGGCATCTTTTGCTTTGCCACCTATTAATCCTCACACTTTTGGTGTGAGATTTTGTTTGCACCTTTGAAAAGCTTTTTTATAGCTCAGCACAGTTTCGTCTTGAGCATGAATGTAGAAGACAAAATACAGAAACTTAGACAAATTTAAATCTTCCTGCATGCATCTACACAAGTTGCATGCTGTGTTTTGCTCTCCACAGGTGAACAAGGGGAGTCAGAGTGTATTGGTATTTTTATTGTTGCTACTGCACTGTTTTCTGTTCGGCTTTGGTGCTGTAAATGCAGGAAGGGATTGATAAATTTGAAGTAACAGTCTTCCTTCACCAAGAACTTCTGCAATTTAAAGAATGAAACCTGATCACTTTAAACACGATCAGTCGATCATTCCCACTTCCCTCCCCATGCCCCCTCCTTTACTAATGCAATTGATAGCTTTAGTAAACCAGGAACTTGAGTAATGTAGGGCCACGTTTTCCTGTGGCTTCATAAATAACAAGCCCAAAACATACTCTGCTTATGTGAAAGGCTATGCTCTTGAGTCGTTCAGGGTTTGTTGTGTAATGAGGATTAAGCCGTTATATCTCTTTCTTGGTGCAAAATGGAAGCCACCAAGTCATGTATAAAGTATTTATATCAGGATGCTGCTTGCTACTCATTTGTCACTTACGAAGGCTATACCTGTGGTTATTGTGGAAAATATGGCATTATTTGTATAGGGTTTGAAAATAGCAGAACTGCATGCTGCAGAGGATAGAGTGTTGAAAAATCTAGATCATTAGTAGGAGGAACTGTAATGAACTACTTTATCTGGAATCATCAAATTGTTTAGTTTGGAAGAGACCTTTAAGATCAAGTCCAACTGTTAACCTAATGCTGCCAAATCCACCACTAAACCATGTCCCTAAGCACCCCATCTACACATCTTTGAAATCCCTCCAGGGATGCTAACTCAGCCACTTCCCTGGGCAGCCCCTTCCAATGCCTGACAACCCTTTTGGTGAAGAAATTGTTCCTAATATCCAATCTAAACCTCCCTTGGTGCAACCTGAGGCTGTTTCTTCTTGTCCTATCGCTTCTCACTTGAGAAAAGAGGCTGACACCCACCTCTCTGCAGTCCACAACTACGTGAAAGGAGGTTGCAATAAAGTCTCCCCTTTAGCCTTCTCCAGACTAAACACCCACAGCTCCCTCAGCTGCTTCTCACAGGACTTGTTCTCCAGACCCTTCCTCAGCTCCGTTGCCCTTCTCTGGACACGCTCCAGCACCTCAATGTCTTTCTTGAAGTGAGGCGCCCAAAACTGAACACAGGATTGGAGATGCGGCCTTACCAGTGCCCAGTACAGGGGAATGATCAGTTCCCTGGTCCTGCTGACCATGCTGTTCCTGACACAGGCCAGGATGCTGTTGGCCTTCTTGGCCACCTGGGCACAATGGT